TTATTGGTGCTCACACGATAATTAACTCAAAGAGTACCAAACAAGGTTGTCAGGAAACTCATGACAACCTTGAGTGTTTTCCTATGCAAAAAATGCATCAGAACTTTCCCAACAACCCAATAATTCCACAAGTCAATAGGAAGCATGCACACAATTCTATTCTGCTTAATTACGAAGCTTACAACAAGGCAACTAAGAACATTATCTGAGTAAGTACAGGGTGCATGCAGAAGTATGCCAGGAAAGCCAAAACCTAAATGTGGAATTACACATGCTTCGAAGATATTTACCCCACTAAACATTTTTGTTAAATCTACTTTACAGTCCTTACCGTAGCTATTAAAGAGAGAAAATTACAGAGGAGAATCTTAATTAGAGCTCTAGAGATTGGCCCTCTAACAAAACTGACGTTCCAAGTAATTTTTCACATAAAACTCTACCCTTCAAACCTCAAACGGAAGAGCAGTCACGTGGACACGGATTTGTCAGAATAGTTCACTAAACTAATACCCAGAGGCCCTCCAGGAAAAGCATGATACAGGGAGAGATTATCAGGAGTCAAATGACTGTCACCCCCACACTAATTGCACCCGCCTCCTTTGCAAACCCAGTTAAGCAAAAATACAAACAAAATCCAGAACTAGAAGAACTATATATTTGGTGTCATAATTTAGGCAGTCCACAGAATTTTTGTTTCAAAAATAAATAAATAAAAACTACTTTTCAGGGGATGTTTCAAACTTAAACATACTTAAAGATACGAATATTAAAAATAGTATGAGCTCAATTCAGATTGCTAGATCTACTAATATACAGTTCTGTGAATTTGGCAATGTCCAAGTAGGTAAAATAGTGGGAAAATGTGGCTACATTACTCAACCAACACAAAGTTGAGTCATAAGCAAGATGCAAACAATAAGGTAGGCGGTTTCTTGCTGTCCGGAGCCAGATAGGGTCTTGCACCCTATCTATTAGCAATATTAAACACAGCACTGTGAAAAAAAGTAAGAGCCCAGCGGAAATGGATAAGGAGCAGAGAGAGTGAAGTTTCAGAAAAGTGCTAACCTGCCTTGAGCCTGGTCAGCTCCAATTCACCCTGAGTGTCAGTGCTATCTTTCTGGCATCACTACTGATGTTCTGAATGGCCTTTACTTTTCTTCATCCCACTGACATCTCTCCATACTTCCACCCTCCCTAGAAATTAGTCACGTACAGCAGTTAGTGTAATGGCTATGTCGCTGGACTCCCATGCAGTCGACTGTGGTTTGAGTCCTGGACCCAGTGGTTTAAACTCACGCCAGGCTCGTGTACGTGTGTGCCCAAGATATGGAGAGGAGAATGGAGGAGAAGGGATTGCAGTGTGGCCATCCCCTCCTAGCCCCGGGGTGATTTCTTGCTTTCTATCTCTCTGTCTCTCTCTGTCTTTCTGACAAGCCCATGTGTCCTATAGTGAAGCAAAAAAAAAAAAAAAAAAAACTCCAAAAAAAAAAGGAATTAGTCATGCAAACTCTAAACAGAAAGTTCAAATGCACAAAATAGTTCTTCCTAAAAACTCTACACTATGACAGGTCTTCAAAGGTCCTGGACAGCCAGCCAGTCATAATAGGAAGGACCTGGGTTTGTATCCCCAAGCCTCCCTGTACATGGGGAGCACACAAGCGTGTCTATGACCCAAGCTAGTTGAAGCTGAGGATGGATCTTTGGGGATGCTCTCTCTCTCTCTCATGAAAATTAAAAAGAAAAAAAAAGGTTCACAGAATGGGTATTATGCAAAAACTATGCATGTATTGTACAACTCTTTTGCACGAGTATAAATTTGTACTTTAATTTCACTTTTCCAGGAACTCTCTCAAGTCCCCTCATGTGATATCAATTGCTCTACTGGGAGTTTCTAAAATAATTTGGACTGATTAACTCTCCCGCCAAAAATGTATCTTGTAATGCATATCGAAGTGTTAAATTATTCTAGCGCTTTTATTCAATTTCAGAAAGCATATGAACCTAACTCTACCATACATCACATATTCATTATTTCCCTCCGCAAAGCAAGGACAACAAAATAAAAGACCTAGAAATTTTCAGTTTCTTTCTCCCCTTTAAATATGAATATTTTTATAAATGCATAAGTTTCTTACACATTTACCAACCCCACTGCCCAAAATACCAACACCTCTCCTGCCCTCCCACTAAATTACTATTGGAGAAAAGGTAACACTACCATTCAAGTCTGAAAACTGCCACAGATCTATTTCAAGATACTACCTTGCTTGGTTAGTTGTTTCCTCTTTTTTTCCCTTTTAAGAATATCCCAATTCCTTACATTTATAGGTGAAAATACTAGTCCTACAAGATTCTTTAAAAAGCAACAATAAAAATACTCTTTTTACTTGCAAGGAAATAAAAACAAAGTTCATATAATTTAAGTCATGAGAAAATGTAACTTAAGTTTTTGGTTCTATGTTCTGTCTCAACTTTAACTTAACTTTTAACAGCTATTTATAGGCTTTTAAACCCACTTTGAAAAAAGGAAGCAAACATGTAGAAATAAGTGTCCCTAGAAAATTTTTTTTAAAAATCATGGTTTGCACTTCAGCTATTAACTCTTGGTAATTTTTCTGTGCTGACATTGTACTTGAAAATCCAAATCGATATTAGATAGTACAATTTTAAAAAAAGAAAAAACCCATTCTATTCTTCGGATGAGTGATTACCAAACCCTGTTGATTATGCTTTCTCTTGAATTAAACTAGTTAAGGGTAGTTTAGATAAGTGATATACGTACCTAACATATGGTAGTGGTATATATAATCAATTAGAAAAAGAACTCCTGGGGCCAGCAGGTGGTGTGGTGGTTATGGGCACTGTACTCCCACATGGCTGACAATGGTTCAATTCCTGGACCTGGCAACACTTTCTCACTTTCTCTCTCTCTCTCTCTCTCTCTCTCTGTGGTCAAATTTAACTAAATAAATACAGTTAAATAAAGTAATTCTTTTTAAAAAAGGAAAAGAATTCTGACATCAATAAAGGTACAATAAAAATATTACAGTCTCCAAAACAACTTATTTCTAATACACAAATCATATTTTTCAAGTGTTATGCACATTTAGGTATGGATGTGGGTGCGGAGAAGGGTGCTGACTGAAGAATTTTGGGTGTGTGGTTTTGTATGGGTGTGTGGTATTACTGCATATATACAGCTTTTGTTTCGATGTTTAATTTAGTAAAGGATAATGTGCATTTGCCAGAGACAGATGCAAAGACAGAGAATATATAAACTTTTTTTTTTCTTGGAGAAGTTTTTGCTATAGGGCACGTGTGCTCGCCAGACAGACAGAGAAAGACAGAGAGACAGAAAGCGAGAAATCACCCCCCCAAGGGGGGATGGCCACACCGCAATCCCTTCTCCTCCATTCCCCTCTCGGGATCTTGGCCACGCACGCACTGGCACGCACGCACACACACCCAGTGTGAGTTTAAGCCACTGGGTCCGGGACTCGAACTATGGTCGACTACGTGGGAGTCCAGCGACATAGCCATTACACTAACTGCTGGTCCTGATATATAAAGTTTTAATGCAATAAAAAATAATCTCTTTTATAATAGATTTATAAGGGAAACACTGCTCAGATTAACAAACAAACTAAGCCCCCATTCATCCCTGGTTAGTTCTGTGATTAGCCATTTTCCTTTTATTCCTAATACCACTGTGGGAGAAAAGGACAGTCAAAACCAAAATACTCATTTATATACACAATTTTTTTTAACATTTATTAAAGGAGCAGCTTCTATGTGCCAAGCACTTTTCCCTAGGTGCTAAAGACAAAAAAACGCATGAGCTGGGACTAGTGGATAGCATAGCAGTTCTGTCCCTGGACTCCTACATGGCCAACTGCAGTTCGAGTCCTGGACCCCGTGACTTGAAAATCACGCCAGACAAGTATGCAGGAGTCTCCAAGATCTTAAGAGAAGAAGAATGGAGAAGGGACTGCAGTGTGGCCGTTCCCCCTGAGGAGTGATTTCTCACTTTCCTTCTCACTGTGTCTGTCTGTCTGTCTCTTTCTCTCTCTGACGAGCACACGCATCCTAGGCAAAAACCTCTACTTAAAAATAAATAACTAAATAAATATGCATGGCTCACAGTCGGCCAAGGAAACTGACATGTAACTGCAGTGTCCGTGAGAACTGCTGCAGTACAACAGTACATGCACTCTAACGTGAACTGGCTGGCTGGAGGCCCCAGTCAAAGGACCTTACTCTAAGTCAACGACTATCATGGCCAAGTACTGCTACCATCTCCAAAACACGTAACAAATCTAATACATACTAGGACCTTTCCCGTGTTATTTCACTTACCCAAACATCTTTTGATAATTGTGTCCCCATCTTATAAATGAAAAAAGTTAGTTTTAAGAGGTAATTAACTTGTTCAAGATTACTAAGTAACTGAAGAAGCCAGAATTTCAAGCAAAGAGTTTGGTTCGACATTCCACTACCCTCTACCTGCCTCTCAAACAAAACCTGAAGGAGGGAGTAAGTACCACAGATCATACATAAGGCGTTTTAGCACATAATCTCTTCTGTGCGCACTGCTGAATAATCTCTGGATGTCATGCCAGGTGGTAGTGGTGGCTGTTCTAAGTATCTAGGCACGCTAGCTTGAAAAACGTTGGAAAGGCTTCTCTAAGTTACAACAGAACAGAACCACAGTGATGCTTCTGGTAATTCAGAGAACAAACTTAGAGATCAGTATCTGTGGTAACAATTTTGATTTTCCCCTGTCCTTTTCACTCATCTGATATCCCCTTAATCACTCAGGCTCCTTTGGTTCCAGCTCCACATACATACATCTATCTACAGCAACAAGACAACTTAACATGTACCATACTTCTGCACTGAGCCTGAATAGGGACTACTCGGGAATTGTGAAGGAACTATCACAAAGCAATGAGGAACTAATTGAAGAGGACATCACACCTAAGCAGCAAAAACATGGTTACCTGTTTCTTCATCTATCCTGAAAACGCCAACACCAGAACCATCTCGAATGGAATAGCGGATCTCCCCATCTCTTCCTGGGTCCTCATCATGAGCTGACACTGTCATCACTGATGAGCCAATAGGGACATCTTCTTTCACTATGCCTTTTTCCACAAAGCTGGAAAACACTGGGGGGTGTAGGTTCTCGTTCACATCAATTACTTCCACTTCGACATAGCAAGTCGAAGACAGAGAAATTGGCTTCCCTTTGTCTTTGGCCCTCACGGTGAGATTATACACTTGCTTCTTCTCAAAGTCCAACTGCTGGACAATTCGAATAGCTCCACTGAGCTTATCCACATCAAAGTTTCCTTCTCCATGGTCCATAAGACTGTACCTCACCTGACTAGACTGACCCAGATCAGGATCATAGGCTTCCAACCACATGATGATGGTTCCTTCTGGAAGATCCTCTCGAACTTTCACACGGTAATTAGGTGGAATAAACATAGGTGGGTTGTCATTAACATCTTCTAGTGATACTTTCAAAAGGACCGTGGAAAACAGTTGGGGTTCTTCTTTGGCTTGATCCCTGGCTTCAATCTTTAAGTAATGTACATGCTGTACCTCGCGATCCAAAGGACGTGCTATTTTAACAACACCAGTCACGCTGTCAATTGAAAACCTATCTGTGTCTGTAAGAATAGAGTATGTCACGTGTCCATTGGGCCCTAGATCTTTGTCTGTGGCTTCAACCTGAATGATCTCACTACTGAGCTCCTTGTCTTCACTCACTTCAACAAAATAGCTCTCCTGTAAAAACTCAGGAGCATTATCATTGGCATCCAGAACTCTGATATCCAGAAGATGCCAAGCGGCCTTCTGTGGTACACCAAGGTCATAGACAGTAACATTCAGAGTATATTTATCTGTTGTTTCACGGTCAAGTGGAGATAAAATTTTTAGCATTCCTGTTTCCATGTCAATAACGAAGCAACTATCCTCATTTCCTCCAGAAATAGAGTAGACCAGTTTTCCATTGAAGCCAGTGTCAAGGTCGGTAGCATTCATGAAAATTATATCAGACCCCACAGGATGGTTTTCCTTTACCTCAATGTCAGTCGGAAGAGTACTTCTAAACTGTGGAGCATGAGCATTGACAGAGTGAGAATCAAAGAAAACATCCTCGGCTTCTCCCTGACTGTGCAGTTTGTTTGCCTGCAGAAGTTTCTCTGCCAGCATTTTGGCAACACCAGTCTCTTCACACTGCAAGTTTACCAGCTTGCGACTGGCAGTCACGGTTATGTTGATATATAATGGGGTGGCAAAATTTTCTCCATCTGTAGCTGTAATTCTCAGACTGTGAAAAGACACCTTGGCCCCTAAGCCATCCATTAGTGATTTCTTTAACGACAATACCCCAGAGTTAGGGTTTAAGCTAAACAACTCTAGTTCATTTCCAGCTTCAATCTGATACCGTACCAACTGCAGCTCATCAGCATCAATAGCAGAAACAGTGGTTATTTGCTCTCCCACACCGAGATCCCTTGGAACGGTGCCTTCACAATTTATTTTCTCAAACAGGGGTGTGTTGTCATTCAAGTTATTGAGAGTAATGGTAGCAAGGACCTCCACTTCCCGGCGGTATGGCAAGCCCCAGTCGGATGCTCGAATTCGTAGAGTATAAACCCGAGGCATCAGTTCATAGTCCAAGTTTTCTGATGTGCTCACTGCACCAGTGAAGTGGTCGATCACAAACGGCACATGATTTAAATTTGCAATGCTGTACGTCACGTACCCATTCTCACCCTCATCAGGGTCTACGGCACTCACGCTCATGACAGTGGTACCGATGGGCACGTTCTCATCAAAGGAGGCTTTGTATGCTGTCTGGGTAAATTCGGGAGGATTGCTATTTGTACCTAAGACTTTAACCAAGACTCTGGTGGAGGCTTTTCTGTCACTTGTAGTTACTTCAAGTTCAAAATGAGATGCCTGCTGCCTTTTAATTGGTTCTAAAATGGAAATGAGACCAGTGTTGTGGTTTAAACTAAATTTAGCTCTTCCCGGCGTACTTTTAAACACGTATCTCAAATGGGAGTAACTAGGAATGGCTTTTACCATGACCACGGGTGTGTGGGGAGGAGCAAATTCACTTACGTCTGCTCTGTAAACATCCTTTTCAAACTTAGCAGGCCCTGCTTTGAACTGTGGGGACATCACATGAATGACTTTTACGGAAGATACCTGGGGAGGGTTCCCTTTATCTTTAGCCTGAAGTGTCAGATTGTAGCCAAAAGGATGACTGTCCCAATCAATGCCACCCATGGCTTTGACTTTATATTCTTTACTCCCTGGGAAGGACCTTGCCGTTCTAAACTGCTGAAGGTCGTCACCTGCAACAATGCTCAAGGACGCTATCTCCCCATTGGCACCCTGATCACAGTCATCCACGGTTACGATGGCATAGATCGGGTCCTTGTCCAGTTCTGATGGTGATAATGTCACTGCTGTGATCTCAGGAGCACATTCATTGGCTTGTTCTACGTGAACTGTTAGCTTGGCCATGCTGCTGATACCACTGCTACCATACAACTTCATTCCCCGGTCTACAGCAAGGATCTCCATCTCATAGAGCTTGGCCTCCATGTAATCAAGTCTCCCCGTTAAAACTACCACTCCACTGGTCGGGTGAATAGCAAACATGTCTGTTCGGTCTCTAAAACTGTAGTAGAATTCTCCATTGGTTCCTATGTCAGCATCTGTGGCGCTGACTCTTGCAATACTGGTCCTTACAGCTGTGTTTTCGGGCAGGGAAACACTGTATGAGGTGGGTGAAAACAATGGCCTCAAGTCGTTTGTATCCAGCACTCGTACCCTCACCTTGGTTCGGGCTTCAGCGTTAGTATTTTTTTCAACTGCTTTGACTATCAACGTGTAATGGTCTTTCACTTCTCTGTTGAGAATAGCTGTATTTCCTCCTTTGGTCCTTATTCTCAAAAAGCAAAAGTCTCCAAGGACGTACTCTTCAGCTTTGAACAGGTTTTCATTGTCTCCGGAGACGATTTTGTACCTTAATTCCCACGAGGGGTTTGTAATGTAAATGCCCATCTTCACGGGATGTCCCACATAGGTCTTGGCTGCAGAGTTCTCGTGCACGGTGACATTGTACTGGAGCTGTGTAAACTGTAGAGGAGGGGTCTGTTCAAGTCTTTGGCTTCCATTGCCATGTCCAAAATGCTGGAGGAGGAGGAGCAGGAGCAGAAGAAACATCAAATGTCTTCCCATTGCTCAACGCTCAGGAACCTAAAAAAGAAGAAAAGAAGAAAAATGATTACTTTGGGAAAATAAAGTAAGAAAAATGTGTAAACTGTTTTAAACCTTACTTTTTTTTAAAACCTTATATTTTAAGGAAGTATTTTCCATTTATGTGAAATATGAATTAAATACAAAGTATTGGCTTTTATTTCTGTTTTCTAGTAAGTATTAACACTCTTCCAATATGCCTAAAATTAACTACATCTATTTTTCTTATTTAAATGACTCAAGTTCGTATTTTTCATGTTTGAATGGTGCAAGAATATCCAGGAACATTAAATAAAAGACTGCCAGCTGTAACAACTAAATTATATTCTTTTTTTCTTTTTTTAAGAGAGAGTTCTGCTATCGGGCATGTGTGCTCACCAGAGAGATAAAAAGTGAGAAATCACTCCCCTGGGGGGGATGGCTATGCTGCAATCCCTTCTCTTCCATTCTCCTCTTGGGATTTTGGGCACACACACACACATGCCCAGCGTGAGTTTTATGCCACCGGGTCCAGGACCCAAAGTGTGGTCAATTACACAGGAATCCAACAACATAACCATTACACCATCTGCTGGTCCCCTAAGCAACTAATTTTAAGGAAAATGGTGTTTTTATATGTCCTCTGTAATGACAGCTTGTCATCTCATTTCAAAAGCTATCCTGAAATGATATTATTTCTTTATAAGAATAATTAAGTCCACTCCCTACAGAATGTAAAGGTTTACTGTCTTGTTTATCACTACGCTAACTACTTAAAGGTATTAAAATAATTATATCAAGTTTGATATCAAGGTAATATCTGAAACACCAACACAATAACCAAAAAAAGAAGATAAAGAGAAAGAAAGTTTACACAAAGGAAAACCAGGATTCGGCAGCGGGATGCCCACTTCCTCTCTATGCCAGCAAACCAAATTTTACCAACCACATCAGTGTTTTGACACCACTGCTCTCAGTAACCAGCTGTTCAGAGTACCTGCTCTCTTCGGGCACTGACCAACCTCTCACCAAGGGCCCCATGGGAAGACCAGATGCACACACAAAAGCCACATCGTCCATGCTAACACACATGGGGTCAAACCACTGCAGCAAGGCAGTGGAAGGAGAGTTGGAGGATGAGTCCGAGAGGGATGAGGGAAATTGAAGAAAAGGTTTCCTTTGGACAAGGAGGAAGGCAGGCAGACTCTACTGGGCCGAGGCCTGGCCAGAGAAGCAGGACAATCTTCTTCAGTGCCTCCATACTGCCAACAAATTCAACCTTGCAAATCAATGCATTGTCACAAACCCCGTAGCACTGTCAGTAAAGGATAGCACTGTACCTTTGCAAATTAACATGCCCAAAACGCAAAGGATACCAAAGGTGAAAGAAACAGCAGCCTGGAGGGCTGGTGTAACAGCCAGGATGAAATTAGCATGGCAACAATAATTTACAGCATCTGAACTCAACTGCTGCCAACTTTGCCCCATTAGTCATTTCATCAGGGAGAAAAAAGACGTGCTATGGTAAAAGCAATTAGAAGCTTAACTAATACTGAATCACATTCAAGTTGGGCACCCTGACTTGCACTTTAGCTATCATCCCCTTGTCCTCCGCAGATAAAATCAGGATATTAGATTTGGGGGCCTTTAGAACACTTATTTAAACAAAATTTTTAAAAATGTTTCTCCCAAAACTCTATAGATATCTCAACCTGGTTGACAGTTCTGATACTCTGGGAAATTTTAATATTATAAAATGATCTAGTGATTGGGGCTAGCAGGTGGCAATGTGGTTACGGCACTGAACTCCCACATGGCTGACCATGGTTCGAGTCCAGGATCCAGTGGCTTAAAAAAAAATCACACAGGGCACAGATGAATGCTCACCCCAAATCCCAGGAGGAAACCAGAAAAGAAGGGATTACAGCCTGGCCATATCCCCTGGGGGGTGATTTCTCACTTTCCCTCTCAAGGTCTCTCTCAGGTGAGTACATGCACCCTATGGCAAAAACCTTAAAAAAAATATATCTAGTGGTTTCATCAAAAGGAGTTAGGAATCCAGTTTAGTGTAATTTAGCAAACCAAGAGTCCACTTTAGTGATATTTATCAATTTTTAACAAGTTGACAGTCTGTTTTAATTCAATCTACAGATACTGAAAACCTGTTCCTGGTAGGTAAATGGAGTTAAAGGCCAAAAAAGATAAAGATTCTGATCCCAAGGCATTACACACTAAGAATACATCCAGAGACAATGCTTAAAAACACACTTACAGGGCTGGCCCTGGAGTGCAGTGGTTAAGTATTAAATACAGAAAGTGGGATCCCACATGCCAACGGTCATGTTTGAACTCTGACCCTGGAGGCTTAAAGAATCACACTGGGCACATGTACTTGTGTGCCCAAAATCTTTTTTTTTTTTTGGAGAGGTCTTTGCTATAGGGCGCATGATGCATTCACCAGAAAGACAGAGACAGACAGAAAGCGAGAAATCACCCCAAGGGGGGATGGCCACGCCACAATCCCTTCTCCTCCTTTCTCCTTTAGGGATCTTGGGCACGCACGCACACATGCCCAGCGTGAGTTTAAGCCACCGGGTCCAGGTCTCGAACCACAGTCGACTACATGGGAGTCCAAAGACATAGCCATTACGCCAACTGCTGGCCCCAACAGTAGCAACTAGAGAACCGGAAGGGGGACTGATCAGAGTCAGAGGAATGCTGACATTTACATTTTCCTCTACTATCTCTTACATTTTCCTCTACTATCTCAATTGTTTAGCCTACGTGTATGTTACCTTTATTATCCATTTATTCCCTTCATAATTTACTTGGTTACTTTTATGAGCACCAGCTGTGTGTCAGGTATAGTTCTAGATGCTAGGGATTCAAACGCGAATTTACCAACGAGTCCTGATGAAGTGAGCGACAAGTGAAGAGTATACCAGACGCTAATAATGAAGGGCTAAGGATTAAAAGTAAAGCAGGGTAGAGATTTTTCAGATTTTTCAGGGAATGAAGATTTCCTACTGATAATTCAGCCTCCAACAAACGAGC